GGGATGCTAATATTTGCTTAAGGGGCTAGAATTCAGCTAGTGCCATGGTCATCTGTTATTCTCTTGACAACCTTGCAGCTGCACACTCTTCTAAAGCTGGAGAAGAGATTTGCTCCTGATATAAAAATGCCAAAATGTTCACGTTCCCCACCTCTGTTCCAGCAAGGAAGTGAGAATATGACAGAGGTTCAACCAGTTGGATACATGATCCTCTAGCTGATTGGCAGGAGACAACAGAAACCATTTTAGGAGGGTGCACCAAGAGGGACAGGCAGCAGCTGTAGTTCAATAGCAAAAGCTTATTGTGGAGCTTGGTGTTGCAAACTGTGCATTGAGGCTCAGCTCTGGTGGCAGTGGGGTCCTCATAGGACCAGCACAATTGCAGACATCATCTCCAGGATACAGGCACTAAGGCTCCTAAGCCTCAAAAAATTCTGAGATCTCCTCCACTACCTGTAAGTAGCTCTTTCAAAAAAATTTAAATGGACAGTGTTGTTTTCTGTTGCTTATGATCTAGAATCTTAGCTGCTAAAATGCAGTTGAACTAGAGTGTAAGTGAAGTTTTCCAAGTCTAACAACGATGTATTCAAAGTCATTCAGAAGGTGGAGAAGATGGAGGCAATGAGATTATTTTGCCCGTTTCTGTTTGCATGCATGTTCACAGGCGACAGTGTTGAACGAGATGAGCAGATCTTTCCATTAGAGGTTTGATTTCGGTCACCACCTTGTCTGCCCTTTCAGTCTTCATCAGGATGCAAGCACTGGGTAGAAATCCAAGAGTCAGAGTTAGCAATGAGGACTCCTACACATGCTGTGCAGTTTAGAGCCTTGTGCTAAGTAAGTCTAGAGGAGAGGATGTGGCTGGCGCTGCTTCCCCAGATCTAGTCATTGGCTTTGCCTGGGATGATCTGGGTCTACAAGGCAGGCCCTGAGCACCCTTTCTTTCTAGACACATGCAAGATCTTTACACTGAAGGATGGAGACACAGTGGATGACCATGCCTGCATCACAGCCTGAACCCAGCTAGGGTGTCACAGCTAAAGGAAAATGTGAGAGTGACAGATGGAATCCTGCCCTGTTCCCGATGTTATGCACCACCTCCTCATACTTCTTTGTTATCCATTCTTCCCTCAACCAGACCTTGGTCAACACTGGCCTTTTTGCTAATCCAGTAGTTTTACATTTTTAAGAATGTTATGCGAGTGCAGTTCTACAGTGTGAAGGTTCTTATGCCTGTTTTCGTTCACTTATTTTTATTCTTTTGAGATTCATCTATATAGAAGTGTGTATCCTTAATTCCCATTTGTTGCTGACAAGTGTTCTTCTGTATATGTGGACCTTGATTTTTGCACTAACCACTGGCTAGTTGGTGGGGCTATTATGAATAAAGCTTCTATGAACATTCATGTGCAGGTCTTGTGTGGAACCCAGGGATGAAATTCTGGGTTGTGTGGGAAGTGTTTGTTTAACTGTATAAGAAATTCCTGCTCCCACAGGAAGTGTCTGGACTGTGTGTGCACTCATGTTCCTGTCAGTGTCTAGTTTTAATTCACATCCTGCTTTTTTTTTATTCATATGTTCTAATGCCATGGGATTCTCTTAAAAAATTAATTTCTATTTCTTGAAAAGCATTCCAAAAACAGTTTTACCTGGATGGTGCCTCATTCAAAATTAAGGTTTATTATTATTTTCTCTCAGTGGATTCTCAGGCAAAATATTCCAGGCAATATATTTTTTTCCCTAGTAATTTCCTAGTTATCATCAAGGTCCCAGAGGTCAAACCACATGGTGCCAGCAGGGGGCGTACGTCACCTACCATTAAATTTCATTTCTGTCTGGGCTCCTGCAGTTCTCCCCTTCAGTAGACTTGGGGAGGAAATAGGGTTGGTCTTTTCTGAGTGAGGATGTTTGGAATCACAGATGCTCTTCCCCCTTGGTTAGAGCCAGGGAGGAGCTTCAAGTTGCTCCAAAATGCAAGGTAGGAGCAAAAATGATCTAAAAGTGCTGACTTCTACTCAGATGGTCCCGCTATTCAGAAGTGGCCCTGTCTTCCTTTCCCTCTGAAATCCTCCTTTACTACCCCTCCTTTGGCTTAATGAGATGCCTCTAGAATGCTCCTATTAACTTACACACATCCGTTACCTGAGGACAGGCACAGTGATGCTCAATGTGGCTGAACGTCTGCATCAGTGGAAGCTTTGGAATTTGTGCCTTAGACTAAGAAAATTCCATCTCTCAGTCTGGGACCCAGGCTTTCACATTTACAAGGCTCAAGTGACCAGAGTTTGACTGGGAGGCTATAAGCTACTGAGATTTCCTAATTTCAGTACATATGACAAAGGTGGGGCAGGGCAGAGGGATCATTGAAAAGTTATATTCCTAGACATTACTTTCAGAAGATTTGATTCAATAGGCCTGGGAAGCGGGCCCCACATCTGTATTTTGATAAGCTTCTCAGGTGAGTTTCATCCAGATGGCTCTGGCCTCACACTTCAGAAGACACTGACCAGGACAGAGCATAGTTAAGTATTGGAAGACCCAGGACAGGGAAAGGAGGACCTAGGTACCTAAGCCCAGGGACAGGGATATAGTTACCTAGTTCTGGGCAGAAAAGCAGTGGAGGAAGAAGGTGACAACTGAGGAGCCAGGGAAATCTTGTGTGAGTGACAAACCAGCTTCTTCCTGCCCTAGGCTTACAGAGTCATCTCTGTCCACAGTCTGAGCTTCAGAGTGACTACCAAGGGCCCAGCAGGCTGAGAATAAAGACCCTTCCTCTGATCTGGGCCTTAGCTGTAGCTAAGGCCTGTAGCCGGTTAGCATTCTTCCTCAGCTCTGACTCATTGTAGGGACCACTGGCTGGGTGAACTGTCATACTCTCACCTGAATCTGCTTGTCTTTGTAATCTAGAAACACGGGTGTCCAAGATGCTGGGCAAAGAGGGGACCACATCATTCCATCCTGCTGTCCTTCAGGACTCTGGACTTCTAATCTCACTGCTTTATGGACTTGCCTGCAATCTGTCCACACACACACACACACACACACTCATTCATTTATTCATTGAACAAATGTTTTTACTGATGTCTCTGTGTGCCAGTCTCTGGGAATCTGAGAGTAAACAAGTGTCATAATCCTTGCCACCCCAGAGCTCACAGCTGGAGGTGACCAGAGAGGGACAGACAGCAGCCTTTTCTGGACAGTACATCCAGAAAACTGAGAGGAAGTAGAAGCTCAGTCTATTAACCCAAGGCCTCTGATGGGCTGCTGTGGGCATGGGAGTAAGAGAACATATGTTTGACCTGAAGGAAGGCTTCTGGAACAATCTGAAATGATAACAAGTCATCAAACTCTCTAGAGGAAAATAAGAACGAGAAATCCTGATGAGAAGTAGTCTTGGTCTATTCAATCTGCAATAACAAATACCAGAGGACTCATGGCTTATAAACAAGAGAAATGTATTTTTCCCAGTTCTGGAGACCAGAAGCCTGAGGTCAGGGTGTTAGCAGGCAAGAGACCTCTTTCTGTCCATAGGTAGCTGTTTTCCTGTGTGTCCTTGCAAAGCAAGAGGGGATCTAAGGCTCTAATCCCACCACATTCAAGGCCTAATCACCCCCAAAGGCCACATTACCTTGATTTAGGAATTTTCATATATGAATATTCAACATATGAATGTATAAGAGACACAAACATCTAGTCTTTTGGGGGAGTTAAAGATATCATTAACCTCTACTATGTTCTAGAAGCTTCTGAATAATGGAGCGCTCTCTCCTAGGGATAAATATATACTAGTAGGTTGTTATTCCTTTTATATAGGTGTGAAAACAGGCATGTTCAAGGCCACATAGACAGAAGATAATTCAACTGGGAAAAAAGGAGCCCAGTTTTGCCCCTGAACTTCACACTGTAAAGACAGAGGACCGAGAGTTTCGAGTAAATTGAAATTTCTGGGCATGTGAGACTCGATGTAGAAATCTTACCTGTTGGGTGGTAAGGAACCTTAATAAAATCTTAGGTGCCCTAATAAAATAAACTATTGGGAACTCTCCTGGCTGATTGATAGCCAATCAGCTGATGGATGAATCAAGAGCAGCCTCTGGGGTTAGGGTTGGGGCTGAGGGATGCCAAAGAGTTGACTACTCATTTAAATACACAGAGATCAGTATGGGGTAAATGGAACATTCTTGCTAAGGTAAGGGAATCCTGAGTGTGGCTGGGGGCCACCTGAACATAAGTGAGCTTCCCCAAGCCCTGGGTTCTAGCCCAGCGGGGCCAGTAACTCAGTAACTGCCATGGAGTCTGCATGCTGGCAAAAGGCAGCCATTCTCTTGTGGTCAAAGGAGTGGTCTGGGGATGGGGAGGGAGACAGACAGAATGAGAAAGATCCGGTAAAAACCTTGCCTGCTGCATGGTAACATGATCAGAGTTCATGAATAATGGAGAGAAATGGATCCTCCAACTGAGAGCTTGGCTGATTCTGGGGCTCTGCCCTCCTCAGGAGGGACCCAGGCCTGGGGTACTATTGAGAGCCTTTGTCGGCTACGTGGCTCAGGTGTCTCCTTAGTAGAGGACCCCTACTTGCCCCTAGAGTGGCCTGGAGGGGTGGCACGTTGTTCCTCCTGTTATAAGGTCAGGTGGGAAATGGATGCCAAGAACTTTGTGTCACCTGAGTCTCCGTGAAGGGCCGGAGCTGGGGCAGGAGGAAGGAGGACAGCCTTTCTCTTCATAAATAAGAAAGAAGACCCAGAGAGAGCCCCAGGGTAGATGCAGAGTGGGAGGGAGGGGAGAGGGAGAGGACAGCAGCAGCAAGGGCAAAGAAAAAGTATTGACACTGGCTCAGGGGCTGGAGAAGAGAAAGAAGAGTGGGGCCAGGAAAGAGAGCCAGAGTGACCCAGCTAGACCTGAAGTCACAAGAGGATTCTACCACTCTGAGAAGCAAGGGTCACAGGTTGGGGGGGGGAGGTGCATGAGTCTGCAAGCACTGGGCAAGGGCCGCCAGCAAGATGATGCCCCAGAAGAAGAAGAGGAGGAAAAAAGACATCGACTTCCTGCGCGTGTATGAGGAGGAGCTTCTGAACTATGTCTCAGAGGATGACGAGGATGAGCTGGAACATGAATACTACAAGGCTAAAGGTAGGTGGTCCGGCCAGGTAGGTGTGGAGGATGTGGCTGCCAGATCTGTCTCTCTTTCTGGGAGGTGAGTTTGGGATTCTGGCCCACGGGTCATCCTGTGTGTCTGTCCTTTATGGAGAAAGCAGGGTGGGCACCATGCCACAGATCCCATGGCACTGCTGATAAGGAGATGCGCCTTTAGGTAGCGTTCTCGTGGGGTAGCACAGACTAGAAGCTTGGTGTCTGCAGATTCCAGGTGCAGACAATCAACCTTACCTAAAAATCAACCTTCAAAGAAGAAATTATTTCCACTTCATAGATGAGAAAACTGAGACTTAGTAAGAAATTTAGTTGAGATGACATAGCATGACACAATTGGGACTCAAATCCAGGTCAGCTCGGTACCAGGGTCCGTATTGACTTCAGTGATTACTTTTAGCCATTTATTTGTGCACTGTAGCTAACCCTCCATCTAGGTAAGTCTTTGCTGAGTCCCTCCCATGTTCCAGGCTGTGAGCTAAGAGCATGGCCTTTGGTGAGTTCATTCCAAGGGACTTTATTAGTTGGATTCTCTGGTAGTCAAACCGAATTTTTCATTTTCTGCAAGATGTCAGATTTCTACCAGATCGTTCTTCAGCCACTCAAATTGCACTTTAATTAGAATTTTTCAATAGAGGAATAGTTGATCTATGGTGCAAAACTCACAGAGGTACTGCAGGATAGATTTTTATCTTGTGGCTTGAGGTACTTGTGTAGCTACTTTTAGAATCCTGTTCTACAAAATCCTTCACACCTCTAACGGCTCTCCTGGATCTACCATCAGGAATCAGTTGTCTCTGTTTTTGGACTCCATACCAATGAAATTGTGCAGTGTGTACTTTTTTGTGGCTATCTGCTCTTTCACTCAGCATTGCATCTGAGAGATTTATCCATGATGTGAATGTGTTATATCATATAGTTTGTTCCTTTTGTTGCCGGTACTGGGGCTTCCTTTCAGCGCTTCATTCTCTTGCTTAGTCCCTGCCTTACTTTCCCACAAGGGTAATGCTCTACTACATGAACCACAGCTTCATTTCCAGCTTTTTGTGGGTTAATTGGAGATAAGAAGCTCTCAGATTTGTCTACCTGGACTGGCTCTGAACTGGGATTCAGATCTAGCCCCCTGATTACCTAAGATTATAGGTGACCACTGGCACCCCAGCTTACTTTGTTCTTCTTAAGTTGTTGAATATTATTGCATTTATAAACAGGGCACTGTTGGCTTAACTTTTTGTTGCTAGATATTCAATTGTTTCTCCTTTATTCCACTGTATGGAAAGACCATGGTTTATTTATCCTGTCATCTGTTGATAGACATTTACTGTTGTTTTCAGTTTGACTCTATTAGAGATAAAGTTACTGTGAACATGTGTGTTCCTAGGGCTTTGTGCAAACATGTTTTCACCCTTTGAATCAATATCTAAAAGTGGAATTTTTGGATCTTATGGTAAGTGTATATGTGTCTTTTAAAGAAATTGTTTATTTAAAACATTTTCTGATTTGCTTGTATGAATTCTCTCTTTTTGTGAGCAGGGTCTTGCTATACTGTAGTCTACACTGTCCTTCAACTCAAGCTCCTCCGGCCTCAGCCTGGGATTATAGACATGGGCACCATGTCTGACTATTTTGGTGAATTCTTTATATCTTGTAGGTATGAGTCCTTTGTTGGCTATGAGTTGCAAATATCATTTCATATACTATGGCTCACTTTGCCATTCTCTTAACTATAATTAAACCCAATGGCTCAGTTTAATTATGGTCACTGCCCTATTTCAGAAGCAGCTATCTACTCCTGACTCAGCTATTGAGATAGCTTTATCATCCCTCTCCTATAGCCTCGGAGTGTCCTCTTCTCTAAACTAGCCTACTCAGGCCTCTTCATCTTCTCTCATGTGATGTGGTTCTAGAATTTCCACTAGGCTGACTTTTCTCCTGTGGACATTTGATTTGGAAATTCCCTGTGTATATACAAGCCTGGCAGCCACACTCCAAGCCCAAGTTGTTGCTGGAGGACCAGAGAAGGGGTCCAGGGGGCATTTGTAGATCAAGGCTCTAGTTCAAGAGACAGGGACTTACACATATGTGCTGCTATCCTTTCAGATCTGGGGCTTGGTTAGATCTAGGGACATCCCACGCTCCACTCACCCCTGAACACTATAGCTACTGGTCTTCCCAGGCCTGAAAGGAACATGTTAGAATTAGAGATGTCCTCACAGGCTCTGAAATACCATGCAGCACGTGCTTGTCAGTTGAGCTAACACCGTCTGCCAAAGGAACTAGCTGGTAGCTCCTAGAATTGAATTAGGTTTCTCTGCATAAACAACAATAGGCTTTTTTAAAAAAGAAAGAAAGGAAAGCTATTTTATTGGGTAAATTCTGTATACCAGAGCCTTTAGATCCAGCATCTTCAATCCTCAGAACAGCTTTGTAAAGCAGGCATTATTGTTCCGTGTTACAGGCAGGTTGATTCTTATACAAGGCCATTGTGCTCCTATGTGATGAGTTGTGGCTGTCCCCACATGGCTGTGACACATATGACACATGTCCAGCACTTTGTCTCAGCCTTCAGACCCCTGGGCTGGTTGGAAGATTAGTAAGTAGTACCTATATCATACCTGCCATAGGCCTGCCACCCAACAGGTGTTCAAAGGTGTTCAGATGTTAATATCACAATCCTCTGACACCCAACTTTGCCATTTTCACCTGGACCAATGCCCCCTCTGGAAGAGAGGCTGAGTTGATAGTTTTGAATAATCAACATCTAACCTCAATTTATCCTCCTACTCAGCGGCACCTCCTTGGGGCAGCTCAGCTATACTTGGCTACTAGTTGGAGACTTACTCTGAAAAGACCAGAAGGAGAAATGCTAATACATTTGCTTTACTAATTGAGTTCAATCCTATATGAACATTTCCTAGTTCAGGAATAGGCACATAGTAAGGAATCAGCTAATATTGCTTATGCCTACAATTATTAAGCACTGGTACTCACCTATTCTCAGGAAGTGGTAGGCGTTATTTCAAACACCCTTCCTACATTTTATGGGTGGCCAGCATCATGAATTCTACTTTTCTAACATGGATTTACTTTCTCTTACTTGCTGCATGCATGGAAGATTCCCATATCAACTGTTTCAGGTTAGGCTGTGAGTCAGAGGGGAGACTGGAATAGGAAGGGGAAGTTCATTGCTTTGGGGGATAGGCGTAGCAGCTCAATGGAGAGGTGGTATGACGATTTCCCCTTCATAGTAGAAGTGATGTGGCTCTGGGTGGCTGGCTGCAGCTACCTGGTCCACGCCAGGTGTGCGCTAGGATTCTGGGAATTGGTTCTAGAGATGGATCTAGAGCATATATCTTTCAAATTTCCAGCCTTTCAACTTGTTCTAGTAGATTCCACTGTCTTGAAGAAGCCAAGTGGATTCTTGTCCTCTTTCTCCATCAGGCAGTCATGGCACTGAAGCCCTGTCATGAACTATAAACAAGGAAGCTGAACACGTTTCAGAGAGGAAACTCAGTACCCCTGAGAAGCTCTTTACACACAATCCTGGGGCGGCTTATCCCGGGAAGGATGTGACCAGATTTCCCCCCTGTTTCAGAGTCTTCTTCCACAAAGGGTGATGGTATTAAGGGTGAGGTTTGGATCTTTCAGAAGGAAGTGATGAGGTTTCTGATCCTGGCCTGGAGCTTTGTAGTGGGTTCCCAAAGTCCTCTGAAATGAGAATCCCTATAGGGCTGGCAGGAGCCCTGCTTTCTCCAAAGCCACATTGAGTTCTGGGTTCTCTTTGGAGTTTATAACCTGTCTTCTTTTCTCCTCCAGTCTATGAGGTGGTTACAGCCACTGGGGATGTCCGTGGTGCAGGGACAGATGCCAATGTCTTCATCACGATATTTGGAGAGAATGGGCTTTCTCCCAAGCTCCATCTCACCAGCAAGTGAGTAGCACCGAGACCTCGTGGGGAGCTGGGATGATAGTTGTATTGATGCAATTTTGGAGCAGCACAGAGGTTGCCTTCTGCTATGTGAAGAAGGCACACCTGACCACAGGGGTATTTTAAGTGGTGAGGACTCTAACAATACACTGTGTATCTGCTAGGGATTGCCCCATGATCTCCTTCAACCTTCCTCTACCCCTCTTTCAATTTTACCAGCAGGAATATCTTATCTTAATTTGGTTCTCCCAAGAACTCATACATCTGTCCCTTGATATGAGAGAATAAATACCATGTAACTTTGGTGAAACTCATCATATCCAAGGCCTTGTTTTCCTCATATACCACTGCAGTCACCGTAGCCAAAGGGTGGTATATATCACCAACAACCATGGGGAGAAGGAATGTTGGGAAGATCATGCAGGCCAAGGATCCCTGAGCTTAAAATGCTCTCCATTATGCCAGGCACTGGTGGTTCACACTTGTAATCATGGCTACTTAGAACACTGAGATCAGAGGATTATAGTTCCAATTAATCACCAAAAAGCCAGATGTACAGCTGTGGATTAAGTGGTAGAGCACTAGCCTTGAGAGAAAAAGTTTAGAGACAGACCCTGAGTTCAAGTCCCAGGACTAGCATACACACACACACACACACACACACACACACACACACAGACACACACACACACACACACACTCATGCCTCATGGAGAACAATATTGTATTAAACCTCTTGGAAGTCATGAACACAGCCATATGGATTGTGTGTGTGTGTGTGTGTGTGTGTGTGTGTGCGCGCGCGCACGTGCGCGCATACATGTGTGTGTGCTTACCATGTATATGTACACATTGTGTCCTCTACTTTGTTGTAAGCCCCTGAGGACAGTGTCTGCCAATATACTCTTTGATTCCCCCCTTCTACACAAGCATGTACGAGCACACAGCACAAACCCTGAGGGCAAGTTAGCACACGGAATTCCAGAGATGGCTATAAGACCTTGGGAACAATTCAGTTCATTGGTTTGGTCTTTACTGTGTGCACAGAGACTTGACCAGTTGGTTCTTCCCCACTCCAGGCCCCCATCTTTCAAAGCAGCTCTACTTAGAGTTATTTTACCTTCTGAGTTTCTGGGTAAGATACTGGTTTAGCTAAAACATCCATAGCCGTGAGACATGGAACCTCTGGTCTATTCGAAGCTGTTCATGGGCCAGCTGAGACCTAGAGAGGACAATGAGTGTTTCAGAGTCCTGAGGGGGCTGATCTTCCGTCCACGTTATTGTTGTAAACCTTTAGATGGACTGTGTAGCCCTAGCATATTGGGGAGACTGCCTTTGAGGCCTACGGGGTCCCTAGCTTATGGCCTGCAAGGTTTATGTCCTGGCACCTCCAGGGGTGAGGAGTGAAGCGATAGAGGGTGGGTGCCCAGGCCACAAGGCTGTGCACTCTGTACCTTACACTCTGGCCTATTGCATGTGCTGGCTCTGAATGGGGACTTATGAGGTAATGTCAAGGCAGGCATAACATGCTATTTTATCCATTTCTACAGAACAGGGTACCTGCCTCTTTGTACTGCGCATGACATGGAAGTTTTTTCCCTCCAGTGATGTGGGCACGGTAAAGGGAATACATGAAATGCCCATCCTCCTTGCCATGTGTCCTCCCAGAATGCACTAGGAGGGAGATGCCACTAGTACCAGGGAGATGGCCACCTGGGTCTCAAAAACAAACCCACCAAGCAAAACATTTCTACTTTGGGGGTAGATCCTCACTGTCCTTCCTCCTGTTGTGCACCCATGATCCTCAGATCCTTCTCCTTAACCTTAGATTCCTGCCCTTAACCATGTTTGTTTGCCTCATCTCAGGTAGGCTCCACAGTTACTGATATGGTACGGTATGAAGGGTGACAGTCTTCATCCCAGCCATCCGGGTATCAGACTTCCCTCTCAATGGACAAAGAAAGACTGTATTGAGAAGAGGAATAAGATGGCTAGGAGTCAACAGCCCACAGTTCCTGGGGAGGCTGCTAGTAGGGAGTCTGCCTAGATCTGTTGTGCTCCAGACTGGGCAGCAAGAGTACAAGTCTGGCCAAGACTCTGGTTAGGGGGGTGAACCTTCACTCAGACCTCCTCCTAGTAAGATACAGCTCCCACTCCCAGCACTAGGTCCCAGAGGAAGCCCCCACCTTCTGGGATCCCCGCTCTTGTCCTATTAGACAGGGCCACCCCAACAGAGGGCCGTCTATGCAGGATATGGCAAACGGATGGGATCTCATGTATTTTCTGGAACACAATTTCCTGCTGAGAACTCACAACCTGAGAGTGTCAGAGAGTGCCTGGCATTTTAGCCCAATGGCTCTGCCTGATTGGTTGCTAAAATGTCCGGGGCAGCCTCTAGAGGCTGGCCTTCCATGAGGACCCTGTTTCATTGCATGGTGGGCATGGGCAGGGCTGTGCACGACATTAACCTTCAACTTGGGGACGAGGAGCCACGACAAGGCCTGGCTTTCTACAAGACGAGAAGAGCCTGCATTTGCAAAGTTTCCTCTACCCTTTGTTATTTTCTCCCCGGACCCAATTTTGTGAGACCTATAAGCATTTGTATGTGACTTACCAGCAATGAGCATTCCACAATGAGACCAAGGTGGGTGTGGCTAGGGGCCTGTTTGGGATGATCCCAGCTTGCAGGGAGTAGGAAGAGGCTGTCTTTGCAACCTTTTCTCTCTCAGGAAGAGGGTGGGGCATTTCCTATCTTTCAGAGAAGTTGATCTCCATCTCCCAAACACTGTGGAAGCTTGCTGCATCCCCAGTACCATCCTGAAAACCCCCAAATGGCCCCTAAGTTGGCCTGGAGTGCTTGCTTCCTCCATCTCTGGCTCTGCTGGCTCTACTGATCTTTCTCCCTGGTCTCCCTGCTTCCACAAACCTCCCAATCCTCCACTGGAGTAATTGTGAGGTACCAGGACTGGCTATTTAATGAACACATGGTAACTGGAATGTGGCATGGGTGAAGGTTTCCCTTTGCTGAAGGTTGCTGTCAGAGCATTCCTTCCAGAACTCTCTTCACAGGTGTCCCTGAACTGCTTTCGAAGTCACATCTCATCTTTGGCTAAAATGAGGGCAGGTGCCATCTTCTTGTCCTACTCACTCACTGGTAATGACTGCTTCCCAGCCTTACTGTATCCTCAAAAGATGGAGCCCAGGAATCCCCAAACCTTCTCATATATTTGCCCCTGGCAGTGGGGTTGCAGAGCAGGGGCATTGTGCATTAAAAAAATAATTACAAAAGTTAAGTTTTCCTTTTGGAAAATTTAAAAACAATATAGGCAATAACAAATAAGCAGCACTTTATCACAGTCCTATCATCTAGATATATTTTTTGTATTAATCCCTCAGATTATCATTTTCAAACAAAGATGAGGCTGGGAAGGTGGCTCAGTGGTAGAGTGCTTGCCTTGCATGCATGAGGCCCTGGGTT